ACATACATACACACACACACACACACATATATATATATATACATATATATATATATATATATATAGAAATATATATATCTGTATGTATGTATGTATGTATATATGTATGTATTTATTTATGCCTGCATGTCTGTATGTATGCATGAATGTATATAAGTATGTATGTATGGATATATTTTTGTACGTATGTATAGATGTATGTATGTATGGATGGATGTATGTATGTATGTATGGATGTTGTGTGTATGTATGTATGTATGGATGTATGTGTGCATGCATGTATGATTGTATGTATATACATAAGTATATTATAAGTACAAAATTAGCTCTTGTTGTCGTTTGTGAAACGAAATTTGTTGTATGCGCCATAGAAACATTAGACGCCTTTGTGTGACTATAGAATCGCTAGTTCACATACTGGATCTAATATCGTTGTAGCGAAATACTAACAGATTACACTGGGAGTCAAATATATTGGGGTTTCAATTATGCAGAGAAGTCCTCCAACAGCCATTCTCTTGTTACTGACACTCGATATGTAACATATAAGAGTTTTAGACGCCCGAGGTGTAACTTGTAAAGAATTTTGTTTGTTTGTTTTTTGTTTGACAGTACATGGCTATAAAAAAACAAATACAACACATACACAATAGGTGTATTTACACAAAACATACATAGCCTGTTTGAAAAAGGAGCTAAACCATAGCCTTTGTATGATTCAGAAGGCTATGGCCAAACCTGATGACATATCTCACCGTCATGTTTTTGCATTTATATATATCAGATTCTCAGTACAAAGTAAATATAAAGTTTCTGCGTTTACACATATTTATATAAATAGCATCACGAGTTGATCACAGTCCACAGATGGTAAAATAAATAAATAAATAAACAAGTTAAAGTCAAGGTGGATGAAGTGCATGAATGGCGAATGCGCCGGCCCTCTAGTAGAATTGCATTCATGAACAGACAGACAACCTCTCTTGAACGGGTAATATAAGGTGTCGAGTCCAGTGCACACGCTGCCATTGTCGCGGATAAATAGGTTTATGCCATTGCGGACAAAAGGTTCCGTGATAGCGTGATGATGAACAGCGATGGTAGTGACGTACGCCTCCAACGGCGGAATCTCGTGCAGATGGTGAGGCTAGCGAGCAAGCGTTTGATAGAAAGCGGTATAAGCTCACGCCACCAACTCACAGAGGTAGATGTCCCGGTGCAGCAATTTTGTATAATCATAGAGCACATCCTGAGACATGGCTTAAAAGCTCGTAGAGGGTTCTTTGGTCCTAAAACAGGTTCCTTTTGGCCCTTCCTGTGCGAAATAATGGCGCAGAGCGACGATGCGATGCAGTCGATAGAAACCCTGAAATGCTTACCACAGTTAAAAACAGATATAGCCAGGTGTAGGGCCTGGATTCGTCTGTCCCTAATGGAGAAAAGATTGTCAGAAAGGTTCGACATCATGCTCGATCCAAAGAATATACTTGTACGGCAATACTACTACGAGCCTTTGGCGGTGATGTGTAACGAAGACGGACAGCTGGTTGCTGGGCTTTTGATAGGCGTTACAGCAATAGATGCTAACTTGGACCTGAAAGATGGGGACATGGAGGGTGTTGGTTTAATAGACTTCAGTTTGTATATGACTGATGGGAATATGTATATGGGTAACGATAGTAAGACTGGGAATACAGCATCAGAAGAAGGATCCACAAAGCAAGACAGGTTTGTGGAGCTAATGAACCAAAAGAACTTCAGCGATGGAGCGGCCTCAAAGTTCAGATTACAATTAGAAGATGCCAGACAATCAATGAAGGCATATGAAACGAAGGTGCGGAAGCTTGAGGCAAATTTTAACAAAGCTACCAACGATAGAGATATGATGGTAAAAGGGTTGGTGGAGGCGCAGGAGAGGAGTGGGACCGAAATACAACAACTGAAGACAGAAAAAAAAAGATGTCCAGAGTAGGCTAACAGCGCAAGTTCAGGTTTTACAGGCGGCTTTAGACAACATGAAAAAACAGTTCGCTACAGGTAAGTATAAGCAACTTTTAGTTGACTTCATATATATATATATATATATATATATATAGTANACACACACACACACACACA